ATCAGTCTGGTAGAATTTACAGACAGGAGCCTGTCTTGGGACTTCTTTTGTTTAGTTTCTTCATAAATGGCCTACAGTTAGAAATCAGAAGTTAGAAGTACAGTGGCCAAATCTATGGATGATGCAAAGGTAATGAAATTGCTAGGTTGAACAAAATAACTCGCAGAAAGGTAATAAATGTAGCAAATATGCTGCATATGGGTTGAAAAAGGTCCGTGTTGGACTATTACTTATGTGGATAGAAACTAATGGATCAGATTTTCATGAAGGAGATGGAAAAGATGAGTTGAGAAAGTTCCTGACTCTGCAACCCTGACTTCATTAAGGATGCCCCAATGAGGTGGGAGCTTCACCATATCTGGAGGCAGTTTCAAAGTGGCAATGGGTTTAGGTAGCTGGGGAGGGTAGCAAATTGAAAGGCCCATCTCTCTTTTCTGGATTTTGAGCCTAACTGTAATTATGACTGACAGGCCCTCAAGCCCTCACTCCTCATGTATGCCTCTCTCATGCCCTCTCCATTTCTCCACATCTCCCATGCCCACCATTCTCCATCCTTGTCCCTCCATGTACCCTTCATACCCACTCTCCTAGTATTCAACACAAGCACAATCATTGAGCCATTGGCATGTCAGAGCAATTTTCTTCTAGTCCATACTGCTGGACTCTAGTATTGTCTGCAGCAATGTACACTACCAAGATCCATAAACAGCAGAGACACTAGCATCTTCGGGAGGCCAGCAAGGATGATAAAATTAACTGACAGCTCCAACTTGAAAGGGTTCATAAAAGATTTACAAGTATAATGATAGGACTGAAGGATTTGAGCTATAGCAAGAGGCTGAATAGGCTGGAGGTTTTTTCCCCTGGAACGTTGGAGGCTGAGGGGTGACCTTACAGAGGCTTATAAAATCATGAGGGGCATGGATAAGGTATGTAGCTAAGGTCTTTTTCCCAGGGTATGAGAGTCAAAAACTAGAGTACATAGGTTTAAAGTGAGAGGGGAAAAATTTAAAATTGACCTGAGGGCTAACATTTTCATGCAGAGAGTGGTGCGTGTATGAAACAAGCTGCCACAGGAAGTGGTGGAGGCTGGTACAATTACAACATTTAAAAGGCATATGGATGGGTATATGAATAGGAAGGGTTTAGAAGGATATGGGCCAAATGCTGGCAAATGGGACTAGATCAGTTTTGGATATTTGGTTGGCATGGATGAGTCAGACTGAAGGGTCTGTTTCCATGCTATAAGATCTTAAGACGATAAGACATAGAAGCAGAAATTAGGCCATTCGCCCCACCGAGTCTGCTCCGCCATTCAATTATGGCTGATAAGTTCCTCAGCCCCATTCTCCTGCTTTCTCCCCGTAACCCTCGAACCCCTTGATAATCAAGAACCTATCTATCTCAGTCTTAAATGTACTCAATGATCTGGCCTCCACAGCCTTCTGTGGCAGTAAATTCCATAGATTCACCACTCTCTGGATGAAGTAGTTTCTCCTTATCTCCGTTCTAAAAGGTCTTCCCTTTACTTTAAGACTGTGCCCTTGGGTCCTAAACTCTCCTACCAATGGAAGCATCTTCCCAACATCCACTTTGTCCAGGCCATTCAGTATTCTGAAAGTTTCAATTAGATCTCAGCCAAGTATAGATAAGATTGAGATATGAAAAGTTTGAAGTTCATATTATTCATATTTTAGTTGCTTGTGTTTCATAAGTCATAGGAACAGCAGTTTTGATTTCGAAGAACATTTGTGAATGTCATTTGAAGTAGAGAATTTGAGTACAGGTAGTTCTCCTATAACACGATAGTTGCGTTCTTGTGTGACCTTGCGCTACAGCAAATCGCCATTGAATATCGTGTTATAGCGAAATTGTTATACCTGTACAACAGAAAGTTTCATTATCCAAACACAGTCCACTATTCATCAATCGCGTTACAGCCAATTCTCGTTAATGAAACACGCGTTAAAGCAGAACTACCCGTATCACTGAAAAAAGACACATTGCATTGAACCACAGTTTGCAAAAGTACTAATTCAATGGAAAAACCTTGATGTGAGGAGAGAGCTATTTTGTTGAACTCTGCTTGGTAGAAGTGCCTCTACCAATTAGGCAGTTGGGGGTGTGAGAGATGAGGACTAGAGGACCTGTCTGCTTTTCTGACAACTAGGATGAAATTTCCAACCTGACATATCCCTCCCTGACATGCTCAATGCTTTCTATGCTCAGTTTGAGCAGAATACCATCCCTGGAACATCTGGACAACAAAGACACCTACGTCAGACTTCTGCTCGTTGGCTACTGCTCTACCTTCAACACCATGATCCCCTCCAGACTTATCTCAAAACTGCGTGACCTTGGTCTCAGCTCCACCCTCTGCAATTGGATCCTCAACTTCCTGTCCCACAGACCACAATCAGTGAGGATAGGTAACTGCACCTCCTCCACAATAACATTCAACACTGGAGCCCCCCACAAGGATGGGTCCTCAGTCCCCTACTGTACTCCCTGTACACCTACAACTGTGTTGTCAAATTCTGAATGAACGCCATTGACAAGTTCACTGATGTCACCACCGTAGTAGGATGGATATCTAACAACGATGAATCAAAATATAGAAGGGAGATAGAGGGCTTGGTGACATGGTTCAATGAAAACAATCTGTCTCTCAATATCAGCAAAACTAAAGAACTGATCATCGACTTCAGACAGAAAGGAGGAGAACACACTCCTATCTGCATCAACGGAACTGAGGTTGAGACAGTGAAAAGCATCAAATTCCTTGGAGTGATGATAACCGACAACCTGTCCTGGACTTCCCATGTAAATGTGACAGTCGAAAAGGCACAACAACATCTCTTCTTCTTCAGGCAGCTCAGGAAATTTGGCATGTCCATAAGGTCCCTCACCAACTTCTACAGATGCACCATTGAAAGCATACTGTCCGGGTATATAACGGCCTGGTACGGCAACTACTCTGCCCAGGAACATAAGAAACTACAGAAGGTGTTGTGCACAGAAGCCAACCTTCCATCCATGGACTCCATTTACACAGTTCGCTGCCAACATCATCAAAGACCCATCGCACCCTGGTAATGACCTCTTACAACCTCTTCCGTCAGGCAGAAGATATAGAATCTTGAACACACGGACAAGCAGGTTCAGGAACAGCTTCTTTCTGGCCTTTACCAGACTGTTGAATGGACTCTTGCCTCAAATAATGTAACCTGTATGCCTCTAAGTCTTTTTGATCTGTACATCCTTTGCTTGCTGTGATCTGCCTGTACGGCTCATAAACAAAGCTTTTCACTGTATTTTGGTACATGTGACAATAAAATCAAAATCAAATCACTGTTCTGTTTCTCCTCCTACAGATGCTTCTGGACTGAGTTTCTCCAGCATTTTCTGTTTTTACTTCTGAAATAACTCCACAGAGGTCAGTATCCCATCACCAAATCACTCTTTATTTACATGTAGAGAGTCCTTGACACTGATCCAGCTCCCTCAGAGTCAGCTGTCAGAGTGACTAGAACCTCTGACACTCCTGTTTATATCTGTCAGCCAGGGTTCCCTGATTGCACCAGGTTAACAGCCCCAATCAGGGAACTCATATTCTGTGCGGTCTAACCTGGCTGACCTCCCTACAATCACTACAATTTCAGCATTCACTAACCATGGTAGCTGCGGGGCTCTTATTGTGCAGTTGTACTGTCTCTACCTCTGAGCCAGGATACATAGTTTCAAACCTCACCTGCCTCAGAGTGTGTAGTAACATCTCTGAACAGGTTGATTAGAAAATATCAGGGCCATTTACACCAAAGTAACGTTGGGGAAATTCTGGTCATGAGCTACCTGATTATGTCTTGAAAATTTCTTTGGAGCATCGGAGGCCTAGGGTGACCTTATACAGATTTATAAAATCATGATGGGCATGGATAGATTAAATAGCCAAGGTCTTTTCCCTGGGATGGGGGGAGTCCAAAACTAGAGGGCATAGGTTTAAGGCAAGAGAGGCATGATTTTAAAAGGATAATTACAACATTTAAAAGGCATCTGGATGGGTATATGAGTAGGAAGTGTTTAGAGGGATATGGGCCAAATGCTGGCAAATGGGGTGAGAATAATTTAGGATATCTGGTTGGCATGGACAAGTTGGACCGAAGGCCTGTTTCCGTGCTGTATGACTCTATTTGATCCTTAGTGTAGGGTAGAATTTTGCACACGTGAGAATTAGTTTCTGAAGGATGGAATATTGGTTGTTGGTTAGAGGAACACTGGACGAGGTGAACCTGAAGTGACAAAGGTATGAATGAAGATTTTTTTGTGAAAGGTAGTGGAGGTGAGTTACAGGCAGGCAATGTTGTAGAAGTAGATGCCCTAGAATTGTAATCGGTAGAAAGTGAGTTAGGAATTAACTCAGGACTGAATGGATCATCAAAGTAGTCGAAAGATCGCTGTAGCCTGAGATAATCACTGACAATAAATGAGGCTGCCAGTAGGGGCTGTGAACGCATTCTTAAAAGAGCCATCCAGAAGAAGAAACGCCAGCACAACGTCAAGAGTTTGAGTTCAAATTAAGAAGTTGCCACCCAGTTGCTAAAATGTAAGTCACTTTTTCAAAACTGGGTTGCGCTGGCCAAGTCTACTTGCCCTGTCCCTTTATTGACAGTCGTGGGTGGGGGAAGGGGCCGAAAGATCCGTCACGTCAGAGATTTCAATTAGAAACTCGGGGAAGGAGGAAAGAAAGAAGCGAAAGTTCCGAGGAGCTGGGAGCAGCGGATCACATCGCAGATCACCGAGATCATTTCATTGCACGGTGAAGCGGGGCGACGTGTAAACTACAAATGTAAGGTTTAAAGTGTATGTGAGCGGAGTTGCAGTAGTTTGGGCTGTTTGTGGGGAGTTTCCATTCTCCGATCTGTTCAGCAGGAATTCACTGACAGTCCCACCAATAAAAATAACACGTTTGAAAAAGGAGCTTTTAAACAGTTGCCGTTTATCTGTCTGCGGTGCAGGTTCCACTACCGGGTTGTGCCAGACTAGATATCCCATTTGGCAACGCTGCAAAACTTAGAGCTGAACATTAATGAATAGAAAGTGCAGGGACACGGAGCGGACGGGCGGGGGAGTGTAGTCACGGGGAACTCTGGAGGCGTTGGGGTTAGTGTTGTTGCAGCAGGGAGACAGACGGACAAACACACACAAACACACACAGAGGGAGGGGGCACAGGGTTTGCAAAGTGTGAACTCCAGCCACCCAAATCCAAACTGGCAGCTGAAGCCGAGAGCTCCGGTTCTGATCACGGGAATGGTATGTAATACACGACCTCAATTCAATGCTCTCTTTATTTAAAAAGAAAGTTTAATCCATACAGCCGTGAAGAATTAAATACTTTTAGCGAGTTAAGACCATTTCCAAAATCTAAGTTGTCTGGAGACGATTCTGGCTCGAATGTCAAATGAATACAGATGCAAAGTTCAGTTATTGTGATCTGCCTATATCTTAAAGCAATGTGGGGAAGTGAAATAGCGTTGTTTTTTTTAAAACTAACGACAGCATAATATTCCGAAGCTAAGTTAGCAACCACGGCCGAAGTGAAAAACTACAGTTGTTATTTTCTTCAATATACTTTATACTAAATCACCATTATATGTTGCTGAAATATTTCACTTTGTTTATCTATGAAATGTTTAAAAATACCACATCAGCTGTACAAATTCTGGTCTGTATTAGTTAACTGGTTTGAACACTGGTCAGATTTTTTGCTTTATTTGGATGGTCTTGATTTCGAACGCCTCTGCAAATGTCTATTTTTGTCGATGTTTGATCTACCTGAACTTGAGAATGCAGCATTGCAGTGAAGAGTTCACTAGGGAGAAAAGTTCCATTTCTATCGAGTCATCGCTGCCGGCAGATTCACCTCAGCAGGGTCTGATTGCCTGGATAAGAAAAAGTGAATGATTCTGGTCATCAAGCTCTCGGTAGCAACCATCGTTCTTTCTAAATCCTTAGTGAAAATGTTGAGTCCGTAATGAAATTTAGTGAGGTACTGTCTGACACCAAAGGTATCCACATAAAAAGGTGGATTAAGTAACGACAAGTATTCATTCATATTTACATAGGGCCTTCAACGTTGTATGTCCAAAACGCTTCCTAGAGCCATTGCAAAGTATGACACGGTAGGATATGTAGGGTCAAGTATCCAAATCCTGGACGTCTCAAAGAGTAAAAAACAACTACAGAATCTAAGGTAGACAAACAGGAGGCTGGAAGAACAGAGCAAGCCAGGCAGCATCTGGATCAAAGGAGAAGTCAACGTTTCGGGGATGACCCTTCTCCAGTCCCGAAGAAGGGTAATACCGGAAATGTTGGCTTCTCCTTTCCTCCAGATGCTGCATGGCTTGCTGTGTTCTTCCAGCCTCCAATTTGTCTACCTGGAGGTCTTAAACACCGTCTACAAGAAGCAAAATGAGGTGCAGAAATGTAGGGAGAGAATTCCAGAGCTTCATGGGGGCCCAACCTGCTGAGGTACACTCACTAGTGGTGTCACAATTAGAATTGGTAATGCACAAGAGGCCAGAGTCAGCAGAACACAGTGAGGTTGAGGAGATTTAGAGATGGGTTGGGGCAAAACCGTGAAAGGATTGGAAAAGAGGGCCTGCAGGCAACAGAGATTTGGCTGATCTCCAGTTCAAACAGAAGGTAAAACTCAGGAAGCCAGGATGGTTGAGTCTTCAGGTAATGAAGGTATCAATGAGATTTAGCAGCAGATGAGCTGAGCAAGTAGTGAAATTGAATAATGTTACATGAGTGAAAATAAGTGGCATTCATGATGGCACAAAGAGGAGCATGGAAACTCATTTCAGGATGAAAGCAATACTGTCATTTAATAATTTTTTCTGGCACGATTAACATTAACCTGCAACCTTTAGTGGATATCAGAATACTGAACAACTAGATTTTCCTTTGCTTTTAAAGCTGTAAAATTTAGATTTGCATTTAAAAATGAGAATGTTATCTAATCTTGCTCCAAATGGAAAAAAAATCAGCATTGTAATGGTAAAGGAAGGAATGACTGACACTGCTTTGGAAGTAAATGAACAGCATTCAAAATAATATTTCAGATTACCTTAAAATAATGCATTACTTAGTTAAAGAAACCGAACATAGATTCTGGAATTGTTAACCAATTGTTTTACAGCTCTAGTAGAGTTAAAACAGTCAACAATTGCACCATACAGATTGCAAGGTATCTGCTTGATTCTGATATCTAGTAAACCTTCTCTGAATTGCCTCCATGCAAGAATATCTCTGCTTAAATAAGGAAACCAAAATTGCACATAGTACTCTGGGTGTGATTTCATTAATGCCCTCTACAGCTGAAGCAAGACTTCCCTACTCTTATACTCCACCTATTCAGTAATAGAGGCCACCATTCTCTTTGCTGTACCTGCAAGCTAATTTTTTATTTCATCACCTCCACATTTTGTAGTCTCTCTTGATTTAAGTAATATTAATTGCATGCTTTTAGATCTTTCCTACCAAAGTTGGTAGACTCACATTTTCTGGCACTGCACTCGCATTTGCCAAATTCTTGCCCACTTAATTAACCAGTGTAGTTCCTTCGCCATCTCTTTGTCCTTCTTACAATTTTGCTTACCGTCTAATTTTGTAGCCGCATTTGCTGACAATACTATTTACTCTGTCCTTTCATCCAAGTCATTTAATATAGATTCTAAATAAAGACCCAGCAGTGATCCCTGTGGCATCCCACCGGTTAGAGTTTGCCAATCTGAAAGTGACATATTTATTCCTACAGTCTGTTTCCTGTTGTTTTGTCAGTACTGTATCTAATGCCAATATATTATCCCCAATACCATGAGCTCATAGACTGAGTACAAAAGCTTGCATTAGTAATCACTTTTAAGATATCCACGTTCTATTATTCATTCAAATATGAATCCTTGGATATCTTTTCTCTCTCCTGTATTAATTATTTTCAAATCAATAAATATTGCCAAGGAATGGAATTAGACTTGGTATGGAAAAAATTTTCATTTATTAAATTACACATTTTTAAGGATAACTCCATGGTTTCTTTTTTTTTGGTGAGTGCCATGCAGTTTGTTTGAAAAAAATAAACTGCTGCTTGATTGTGGTACCCAGTTCTGCAGTTTCCAACATGAAATGCTTAGTTGGATGTTTTCACATAGAGAGCCAGTCAGCTGATGACATGACCATGAGGTATGAAGTCAGAGCTTCCACTGACAGGAAAGGTGTAAAATAATGTCATAACCCAGGGCAAAACTGGAAGGAATAGGTTTCATTTTGATGCATTACATTTACAAGCTCCACACAAATATTTCTTTAAGTTCTGTTTCTTCAGCTAAGTAAAACAATGGGGTAAGCAAATCCAGATTATTATTATTTTGAATGCTTTCTTGCCATGCTCACTTTCACTGTGTTAATCAGACCTTCCTTTATCATTACACCTCGGACTCAAAGTTTGCATCCAGCTTTCAAGGCAGTACAGGTTTTTTAGTTAGTTTTTTATGGGGTGACATCTTAAGCTCAAATATTTGAAAATGACAGAAGCATAGGGTAAGCATATGAAAACAGGAAATTTTAAGAGGTTAATATTGTAACAGGAATAATTGAAACATTCTTCTTCCTTGAGAACTTCTCGTTGTTTATTTCAAACATTTTGTCTTATTTCCAAATCTCATTTTTTTTCTGTAGCTATCACATCATTTAATTGCATAGCTTGTTTTAATTTAGTGTCCCTCACATAGAATCTTTCTAGCATTAATTTCAAATTGCACTCTGTCAAGGTTTGCTGTAATGGCCTGAATTGTCAATCATTCACTCCAAAAGTTCCACTACAAGTGCATGTTGGGAGCTGCTGTTTGAATTTGGATCATAAAAGGTCATTCCAGTAGGCGATATTAGCAAGGACAGAGAACTGGCTAACTAACCGGAAATAAAGTTGGGATAAAAGTGTCACTTTCATGTATGCGTTCAAGCTGTTAACGAGTGGAGGGTCACTGAGATCTCCACTATTTACAATCTGTATGAATGACTTGAATGAAGGGATCAAGTGTATTGTGACCACACTTGCTGATCATACAAAAATAAGTGGTAAACAAGGTCGTGAGAGGGCACAAAGTTTGCAAAGAGGTGGTTTAAGTGAATGGGCTAGAATTTGGCAGGTGGAGCATAATGAGGAAAAATGTGAGATTATTCAATTGGCAGGGAAAAAGAAGGGCAAAATGTTATTTTAGCTGTGAAACGACACAATCGTTGTGGGACAGAGATCTGGATATCTTCATACATGCGTTTCAAACTGTTGGCGTACAGGTACAGCAACTAATTAGGCAAATGCAACATGAGCATTTATTGCAAGGAGGATTGAGTATAAAAGTAAGGGTGTCTTACTACAACTATACAAGACATTGTTGATATCAGATATTGTGTACTGTGCAGATTTATGGTCTTATTTAAAAAGAAAATTACTTGTACTGGAGGGATTTCATCAGGGTGATTCCTGAGATGAAGGGATTGACTTCTCGGGGAAGACTAAGCAGTTTGGATCTATACTAATTGGAGTTTAGAAGAATGAGAGGTGATCTTATTGAAACATGTAAGATTCTGAGAGGAATTGACCTGGTAGCTGCGGAGAGGATGTTTTCTTTCATGGGAGAATCCAGAATCTAGGGAATACATTTTCCAAATAAGGGGCTTATGAAGGGGATGAAGAAGAATTGCTTCAGTCACAGGGTTGTTGATCTTTGGAATTCTGTCCATGAGGAACAATGGAGGCTGGGTCATTAAATATATTCAAGGCCGAATTGGACAGACTTTGTTTAACATTGGTTAATCTACGATAATTGGGGCTTGGGCAGGAAAGTGGAGTTGAGGATGTTCTCATCAGTTGTGATCTTATTGAAGGATACAGCAAACTCGAAATGAACAAATGTCTGACTTCTGCTATTTTCAATGTTTTGTTTTGCTGGTGTGGGTCACTTCAACAAAGAATAATTGAATTTGAAACATTATTTTTTAAACTCAGGCTTCCTCCACAATTTCAGAAAGCATTATTCCAATCACATCAAGCGCACACAACTTGGTGTGTAGGAAGTTTGAATAAACTTCAAGCGTCCACTTCCTCCACCACCAATACTCAGTAGCAGTAACGTGTGCTGTCTACAAGATGCACTGCGGAAACTCACCAAAGATGCTCAGGCAGCTCCTTCCAAACACACGACCACTTCCATCTCGAAGGACGTGGGCAGCAGAAACATGGGAACACTAACACCTGCATGCTTCAAGAATTAAATTCTTCAAGGAAATGATTCTTGTATGATGAAAAATTTTGTTATTTATGCAGTAATTTGCAAACATTAAATAACTTTTCAAATAATGGTTCCCTAAGTTTTTAAGACCGTTGCAGTTTGTGTATGAATAGGGTCATGAATAGGCTTCATGTTGGGATTATTATATAATTAACCATTTTGATCAGGGTAAATAGTTCTATTCTTTATGTCACTGTGATATGAAATTGGTCAAGAGTTAGCAATTTCAACCAAATTAATAGGTTGCCAACTTTGACCAGTTAATTGCGATGTGGCAGCATTTTTTAAATGTAATGCAAAGTACTTGGGGTTGAGAAGCTCCAGGCATTTTTAATACTCTGGTAGTTAGTGCATCAATAAAGAGACCTGGGGGAATTTACGGCACCAAGAATCTGAGTTCGACTCCAGCCTTGGGGGACTGTCTGTTTGGAGTTTGCACATTCTCCCCGTGTCTGCGTGGCTTTCCTCTGGGTGCTCCAGTTTCCTCCCACAGTCCAAAGATGTGCAGATTTGGTGGATTGGATGCTAAGTTGCCCATAGTATCCAGAGATGTGCAGGTTATGTGGGTTAACAATGGTAAATGTGAGATTGTGGGCAGAGGGTGAGGTGCTCTTCGGAGGCTCAGTGCAGACTCAATGGGCTGAATGGCCTCTATCTGTACTGTATGGATCAATGATTCTGAGTGTCACCCAGTTTAAAGTTCTTTGGTATGGAATATGCTCCAAAGGTCAGGATTATTTTGAAAAATTCTCTCCTGGCCTGGCAGCAGAGCCAGGACACTTGGTGGTGGGGCAAGGTGGGTTCAGTGGTGTCAGTGAAGTGAGCCTAGTGATGAAGAGATGGTGCCTAAAGTGGGGCAACCCCCCCCCCCCACCTCCTTGCCATGTTAGTGGGGGCGGGAAGGCAGTGAAAGTCTCCCCTGAGAGTAGGTGCTAGCATGGATGGGATCAGAAAGGCTAATATTCTGAACTTTTTACTCTACTTTTCTAATTTATTCATAACAGCTATAATGCTGAACTGTTTATTTCTTTACTTCTCTAATTTTTTTGTTTCCTAAGAATTTGATCTTCAGTATCTGTACCTAAGATGGCACTGTACTGTGGTGACTGTAAACTTTTCACTGTACGCATTTGAGTACGCGACAGTAAGCTAATCCAATTAAATTTGAGAAGGTGTGATTGAAGATTTCCCAAAAAAAGCATTAGTCTGTAGCCTGATGATGTATAATATGACAGGACTAGTGCATTTCCGTAAAATGTCAATACAGAAAATTAAGTTAGACGACAGGAAATTTCTGGAACAGATTATAGAAACAGGCCATGTGCATTGATTTTACCACAGTGCTTTGAAAGGGAACTTCAAAATTCTCAAATGAAAATTTCTATTTGTAGACAGTAAGTTGCTAGTTTGCTGTAAATATGAGGAATTAAATGTTTGTGGTCTTCTAGAGTCAGGCTTGATTGCCTTTGGGAGTCAAAGAAGAATTTTCCAGAGATTCTGCTGAGTTGGCCACAGAGTTCTCTTGTTTTCATATTGTTCGTTCCATAAGACTCCATTGTTTGAAAGCAGATCATTGGGATATGTGATTTGCTTGAATGGGGCTGGTACTTTGGACCTGATCTTTTCTTAGCTCGTGATATGTTTTGTTCAGTGTTTGTTTCAGTTGATAAATACAGAGAAGGATCCTGGAAGATTTGTGGAACTATCAACTTTTCCCCCTTTCCTTAGTTTACTTGTTTTAGTGTTTTCATATGTCCTTAGAAATATCTTCTTGAACTTCATCTTCTCAATGATCTCATGATTTATACATTTCCCATAGCTTCACTTTTTATTTTGTGGTTTAATTTTTTTGTTTTTATTTCCATCTGTTTCCTATATTCATATTGTATCTGAGTTCATTGTAGTCATTCTGGATTTGCTTCAAGTTTTGTAAAGTAATCATATTTTTCTGTCTGATCGTACAACCTATCAAACTATAATTTGAGCCACTAAATTGAGTTTGCATACTTAAAGTTCTGTATAAAATCATGACTAAACAGAAATCCAAGAGCTGTCATTATTTATACCGTATCTTTCTCAATGCCAGTTGCATCTCTAGGTGAATCCGAAAGATCAGTGCGGAATATTACCAAGGAAGTGTTGCTGGTCATTTTTCCGGCTGTTAGAACTCCCTATAGTCTGTCAATAATTTAAACTCTGTAAAGGAGAGTATAGAAATAATTTTAAATGTGGACCTGGCTTTCACTTGTCTCCTTACCCTATCAATTTTTTTTATTTACCCTTTTGCAGTTATTTGGTTAACTCTTGAACCTGCATATTCTGTTCTGATTTATCACTGGCATCTTATTCCATCCTTATCATTTTTTGATGTACACTACTTCTGCTGGGCTTTCCAAATTACCTCCAACTCTTAAATGATCTGCTTTTTAGTTTTGAAATTTTCATTAATATGTTATTCTGATCAGCTTTATCAATTTAAACACAATTTTAAAGAAACTTTTTAAGGCATCTCGATGTCTCTTTCTCAATAAGAATAAACCAAACTTTCTTTGCTGTTCTTGCAATCTTGACTCTTAAAGGCCTTTTGGAATCTTTGTTGCTCAAATTTACCTTAAGGTGAGAAGAGAAAGATTTAAAATGGACATGAGGGGCAACTTTTTTTTTTGCACAGAGTGTTTGTGTGTTTAATGAACTGCCAGAGGAAGTGGTGGATACAGGTACAGTTACAGAGTTTAAAAGACATACAGATAAGTACATGAATAGGATGGTTTGGAGGGATATGGCCAAATGCAGGCAAGTGGGACTGGTTTAGTTTGGGAGTGTGGCCTAGTTGGACTAAAGGGTCTATTTCCATGCTTTATGACTCTCTTTACAGTATGGTAACTGGATACAACAATCAATATCCTTGTCCTGGGTGGACCCCTATCAAAAGCCTTCAAAAAATCCAAATACAACATGCCCACTGGTTCTGTCTTATGTAATTTACTAGTTATACTCTCAAAAAAGCTTATCAATGAATTTGTCAAACTAGTTTTCCTTTCTTAAATTCATGTTGACTCTGCCTAATCCCACCACGATTTTCTTAGCATCCAATGATCACGTCCTTTACAATAGAGTCCGTCATTTTCCCTTCTATTGATGTCTGTCAAACAGACTACTGATTCCCTGTTTATGTCACTCCTTTCTTAAGTAGTGGGGTTATATTTGCAACCTTCTATTAAATAGAACTTTTAGAAGATGACTGTCATGACAGTCAATCTCTACAGCCAGTTCTTTCAAAACTCTGGGATGAAAATCATCAGATCCAAGGGATTTACTAACTTTCAGTCCAATTAATTTCTTCTTTACTTTTTTTTTGCTACGTTACTTCATTTCAGTTCCTCATTCTTGTTAGTTCCTTGGTTCTCAGGTATTTTATATCTTTCTCTTTGGAGATGTACACAAAGCATGTATTATTTTCTGTTCCGTTTCCTTATTCCCAATTTTATAAGTTCTGCCTTTTCTGTCTGCAATGGTTCTACATTTGTTTTTCCTCACTTTTTTTTTTAGCTTTTTCCATAGCAGTAAAGCTTTTAAAATCCATTTTTTGTATCTCTCACTAACTTACTTCCACAAACTATTTTCCCTTCCTTCAGCTGTTTATTGGTCCTCCTTTGGCGAATTCAAAAATTCTCCCAATTCTCATGCTTACTACTTCTTAGAAACTTTGTAATCTTCTTCCTTTTTTCTAATACAGTCAGTAACTTCTCTTGTTATCTATGGTTGGATCACATTTCTTTTGGGTTTTTGTGTCTCAAAGGAACATGTATCTGTTGTACACCATGTCTTCATTCTTTAAATGGCAGACACTGCCTATCCACCGTCATACCTTTTTATGTAGTTTCCACTCCTCCACAGCCAACCTGCTTCGGCTCCATACCCTCATGGCTTCCTCTGTCTAAAGGAAACAGTTCCTCCTGCCAAGCTAGTTTAATCCCTGCCTAACAGCACGAGCAAAACACTCTTTGTGGATATTAGTCCCAGTCCTGCTAAGTCTGTAATCCATTCTCCTTGTATACATTCCACTTACCTGAATCGGTCCCAATGTTTCTGAAATCTAAATCCTTCCTGCAGCATTTCTTCAGCCACATGTTTATTTGTTCTGTTCTATCCTCCTCCTCCTTTCTGTAGGCACCAATACTTGCATGAGGAGTGATCATAAGATTATTGCCTTTTGAAGTTGTGCTTTTTAATCTCTTTCCTAACACACTCAAATGTGTTTCGGGATGTTGTTGCCTCTTGTCTGGTTCCATCTGTGAAAAACTGTTCTTGCAGAAGTTAAATTTTAAAGGGTGGAAAGGCTAGGCAGTTTAAACATTCACATTATATCAGGTAATATAAAATATCCTGGTGGTTCAAGAGATTTTATGGATACTTGTTAATCCATTTACCACTGATTAGGAATCGCATGTTAAACCCAAGCAGTGTGATGTTGTCTTTCCAAGATGTCCAGATAATATTGTATATTCGTATATGGTATTATCACTGGACTGTTAATCGGACTGAACTAGGATAATGTTCTGGGGACCTAGGTTCAAATCCCACCAAGGCCGATGGTGAAATTTGAATTCAATAAAAGTCTGGAATTAAGAGTCTAATGATGACTATGAACCATTGCCGATTGTCGGAAAAACCCACCTGGTTTGTTAATGTCCTTTAGGGAAGGCAACTGCCATCCTTACCTGGTCTGGCCTACATGTGGCTTCAGACCCACAGTAATATGGTTGACCTCAAATGCCCTCTGGGCAGTTAGAGATGGGCAATAAATGCTGCCCCAACCAGTGATGCCCGCATTCTGCGAATGAATAATTAGAAAGTTTGTAGTTTCAAAAAGATTTTGACAAGCGGCACATACCGGTTACATTTGGAATACAGATATTGATAAAACACAGAGATGTGTAATTTAATGGAAACATTTATTTAAGTCTCATGTGTAATAACTGATGCTCTGTGGTGTTTCTCA